GTGAGATGTCTCCCCCTCCCCAGGCCCCCCCCTCGGGAGCCCAGTCGGGCCGCTTTGGAGGGGGTGGGGCCCCCCGGGACCCGGGTGAACGCAGCCGGAGGGCAGATGGCCCCAAAACATACCAAAGTGGCTCCAAGAGGCCCTTGGGGCGGTCCACGAGGGCCACGAGTCGCTGAAAGATCAATCCAATACAGTCGGGGCGTTGACCTAAGGAACCCTTAATAAGGAACGAGGCCCCTATTTTCCACAAGTTGAACTTCGATTTCGTATCGAAAACCTGAGGACAATCCAAGGCAAGCTGCGAAACAATCAAGGAACACGGAGCCCCTCCCCAACGAAAAGGGTTCCTTCTCCAGGGCCCCGACTGTACGCCCACACTGGCCTCCACAAGGGCTCCCAACTTCGCTTCGCGCTGCGCGAAGCGCGAAGTGCGAATAACTTCGCGCTCTCGCGCCGCCTCCCAAGGGAGAAGAGGAGGATGAGGAGGAATCGGAGCCGAACCGCGAAGCGCGAAGCGCGAATAACTTCGCGCCCTCGAGGGCGCCCTTGCCTCCAGGCCGAAGCCCCCAGGAGGCGTCCGAAGAGGGCCTCCCAAAGGCAAAGACCGTCGCATTCCCTGAGGGAAAGCATGCAGTCTTAACGCGGTCGCCCCTTGGGCGTTCACAACGTCGCAGACGGACCAAGAGGCGTTCAAGTTCGCCCCAAGGCCGGCCAAGAGGTCCCCAAGAGGGCTCCAAGACGACGCAAGAGGGCCCCAAGACGGCCCAAGAAGCCCCCACGACGGCCCAGGAGGGCCCCAGGATAGCCCCAAGAGGGGGCCCAGAGGGGGAACACGAACGGACATTTTGAGTGAAGCCCCCAACAAGCCCCCAGGGAGCCCAAAGATGGCAGCAAAAAGCCCCCAAGAAGCCCCCAGGCCCCCAAGAGGTTTAAAAACTGCCTCCAAGACGCTCCCGAGACACCTCCCATGATACCCCATAAGCCATCCGAGTGGCCTCAGACCCGCAACCCAGGCACGGTGGAAGGATGTGCCGAAGGCCATTCGATAACCATTCGTAGGGTAATTTGAAAGCTGCCCGCCGTCTGTATACGTGGGTTCTCGCCCGTTTCCCCATGCGTGCACGGCGGATACTGAGAATGTCAGCCCAAGAGGCCCCGAAAAGGCCCCCAAGAGGCCCCCAAGAAGCCCCCCAAAGGCGCACAGGAGGCCCTCAGGAGCAACACACAACATCCGCCAGTTCCCCAAGGGGTCGGCGGTGTGGCGTAAGCCCAAAATCGACGCTAGTCGACGCTACATCGGGTCTAAGTCGGCCTATTTCATCGATCACCAGACGCTATCCGACGCCAGTGCACTCTAAAGACGGAGTTACGGGAGTACAGTCAAGACGCTGACATAAGGACAACGTTGGGCTCAGGGGGGGCTCTGGTCGGGGAACCTGTTCGTGGCAAAGGCTCGCCTTGGCCAGAAAAGCCTCGTTCCTTATTTAGCGTTGTGGATGCCATGACAATGGACACTCTAGTAATCCTATCATTGAATTAAACATGTGTTTAAAAGGTGCAAAACATGTAATACAAATGGTTCAAACATGTTTTTACAGTTTGAAAACATGTTTGAAACATGTGTTCTGGAAATGGCAGCATGCTTCCTCTCCATTAATCGACTTCCACAAATTTAGCGCTCCTTCTGCTAGTACGCCCGCTACCACGAATTTGCTGCCACGATTTGCTGCCGAACCCCTCCTTCGGGGAGCGCCGCCGAGCGCCGCCGGCGATGCACCGACGGTGCATCGGCGGCGAGGGCGATGCATCGGCGCCGCCGGCATGGAAAACATCGGGCGCACACGTCGAGCCGCATCGCCGACGCGTCGGCGATGCGGCGCGACCCTCCGACCCCCCACCATCTGGGAGGCCCAGATTCCTCCCGCGCTCCTCCTCCTCCTCCTCCTCCTCCTCCTCCTCCTCCTCCTCCTCCTCCTCCTCCTCCTCCTCCTCCCCTCCCTCGCGCGCCATCGCTCGGACGTCCACTCCCCGTGCGGTGTTCGGTTTAGTGCGTGCACTTTCCGCAAGATGACCCTGGATGCTCCTCCACGGTCCTCGCCGAAGACAAAAATGCCTTCCTCGGATCGGCTACACGCAAGAATGACCCCGGGCAAGAGAGATCTTTGGTGCGCGACTGTGGGGGGGGCCACGGGGTGACCAACAAAAAGCCGCGCAAGACGCGAATGTCGCACCGAGTGCGGCGATCGGGGGACCCCAGTGGGCCCGCACCAAAAGGTCACCCCGGCGAAGGGCCACTCCTGGGGAAGCCACGACCCGGACCTCTCCAGGGATGCGTTCTGACCCAGCGTTCGAGGCGAGTCCAGCGGTGGCGACGAGGGCCTGGCCAGGAGGCCCAGACTGGGGAGAACGGGGAAGGCCAGCGGTACCCATCGGTCGCAAGCAGGTAGAATCATGAAGTAGGAAGGCGTTGGAAGTGGATTGGGTTTCTGCCCGCCTCCTGGAAGAGGAGGGAAGAGGGAAAGCCACTCGACTCTTGAAGTAGGAAGGCGGCGGAAGTAGATTGGGAACTGGGAGTCCAAAAGTACCTACTTTCAACGACCGATGGGTATGTGTACCTTCTTCTCTACGACCTCTTACGTGTACGACAGGTTCGTGCCGTGTCGACCTGGGCGTTGGTTCCTGACGCCGCGGGGATCGCTCAACCTTGAACGCTCGGCCCTTTCCGCAACGTCCGATCGCTCAACATCGACCGCTTCTGGGCCGCCGCCGGCTTTCAACGTTGAAAGCCGGCAGCGGGGTCACCGCCAGTCGACGCGACGCGAACCTACCGTACCTTCTCCTCTACGATCGGGGATCTTCAGACCCGGGTCAATCCAGACCCGGGTCAGTCAGGCCTTGCAAAATCCTGCAAAATCCTGCATGATCCTGCACCCAAAACCGACCGGGTCAATGCGAAAGATCCTGCAAGACCCTGCAGGATCCTGCACCCAGACCCGGGTCCATGCGACCCTGAACCTGCAGGATCCTGCAAGATCCGGTGCTCTCGCTGACTCCCGTTTGCATTGACCCCCGTCTCAAGGCTCCCGGTACGACCTCTTACGCGTGCTGGACGTACTGGACCGGAGCGCCGCTGAGTGCCTGGCCCCTGCCGCCTCCGCGGGCGCGCCCGATACTCGGCGGCGCGCCCAGGCTTCAGGTCGGGCACGTCCTCCTACAGGCGGAGCTTGGAAGAAAAATGCTTTAAACAAAAAAGTCTGGAATACTCAAACGTAGTCAACAACAATACAGAAAGTCTGCGGATTTTGTTTGCGGAAAAAAACGGGAATTATATCTGCGGATTCTGGTAGATAATATGATGGCTATACATACAAATGTGTATATATATGTATATATATGTATATACATATATCAATCGTAGTCTAAAATCAAACGTAGTCAAAAAAACAGGAACCTGCGGATGCTGGATTCAAAAGCCTTCTCTTTTTATATGAAAAACCTGATGTATTCAAACATTGTCATGAAAAATCGTCACCAGAGCATTGGTTCATTATTTTTGGATATATTCCTCCTGTAGAGGGACAGGCCCGACTTAAAACCCAGGGAAGATGAGAAGTCTCAGAAGGCTCGGAAGTCCCCTGGCAATCTGAGAAGTTCTCTAAGCCTCCCCCCGAAGACACAGAAACTTCTGAGGAGGCCAGAGGCCTCCTGAGAAGCCCCGCCGCCTTCAGAGTAGGCCTTCCCCTTCTCACATCCACCCCTTCTCACTCGCCCCCTCGCTGAGACCCTCCGGCGGCGAAACTGAGGAGCATTCGACAGTGCCCGCCCCGACGCACAAGAACACGAAGAGCATGATAAGGGATCCTCCCCAAAACGACCTCGATCTTAGACCTCGGTCCGAACGTAGTCGATCGAGGATATTGGGCGCGAGGGGCGATAAATGGGTGGGGGAAGGTGCCCGTTTCTGACCCGAAAGGCCCTCTTGTGAGCCCGAAATGACCCCTAGGGGCCCTCAAACGCCCATTTTCGGCAGCCCCCGCTGCCCCCCCCACGAAGCGCATTTATACAATGACATGACGGGCGTTATGGGCGAAGAGGAGGGGGCGGACGGAACGGGGCATAACGTAGCGCCGCCCACACCCCCCCACCCCCAGACTGTGGTGCCAAACGCACTGCGGCAGTGCAGGAGACGCACTGATGGGTGGAGCGTTCCATTACGGGGGGGAAGGGGCATAACCCGCGTTATGGCCCGGAAAGTGTGCGTGTGTGTGAGTGTGTGTGTGTGCGTGTGTTGATGTATGTATGTATGTATGTATGTATGTATGTATGTGTGTACATATGTTTGTATGCATGTATGTATGTATGTATGCATGCATGCATGTATGTATGTATGTGTGTATGTGTGTATGCATGTATGTACATGTGTGTACATGCATGCGTGTGTATATATATATATATGTACACGTGTATATATGTATATATATATGTGCCTGCATGCATACATGCATGTATGTATGTATGTGTATATGTGGGTGTAACTATGTATGTATGTATGCATGTGTGTATGTATGGATGTAGGTGTGTAGGTGTGTGTTAAGTATGTGTGTATGTAATTATACATACAATGTATTAGTTTCATCTATATATCAGAAATGGAACATCTACATTTCTTATATGAGCACAATGTTGTCTAGCATGTATGCATGCATAACTACAATATAAATGCATACATGCATACATACATGCATATGTGCACACATACATGCATGCATGCATGCATGCGGTGCATGCATGCATGCATACATACATACATGCATGCATGTATACATACATACATACATACATACATACATACATACATACATACATACATACAGACAGACAGACAGACAGACAGACAAACAAACAGACATACACATATATGTATACGCAAGATCAAGAACAACTCCATGTGCCGCGACCCCCCCCCCCATACGGGCCCTCCCACGAGCGCCGCCGAGCGCCTCGCCAACCGCCTCAGCGGGCGCCAACTGCGGCAGCGGGGGCGGCAGCGGAGGCGGCCTGCCGGCCGGGCCCATGCGGGCGGCGCGCGAGGCGCCCCGCGCTGCGGGGCAGGCGGCGCGCGCGCCCGGGGCCGCCGCGGCCCGGGGGCCGAAGCCGGCTGCGGAGGGACTCGGCAGGTGCTGACGGTTTTCTTAACTTAACTCGAGCTGCAGATCAGCTACAGAACTGTTCGGCACAGCATTCGAAAGGGAATGATTAGGAGCGCTAGTCTCAAGTATCTAGATGCCTGAGATCGGTGTGCTATCAGAGCTGGAACCAAAAAACTATTCCGCGGCCAGACCCACGGGGGGGTGACCCACCGTCAGCGGCGAGCGAACGGGGGTCACGGGTGCGAGGTTCGACGGGGTTGCGGGTGCGGCGATCGAGGCTCTCGGGCGTGGGTCGCCGGTTCTCGGCGGTGTTCCAGCCACGGGGTGCGTTCCAGCAGCTGCGCCTCGCCGAGAATGTTCCAGGCGTACCCGGATCGTCCCGAACGGCCACCGGAGAGCCGAGTTCTGACCGAAAAGCCACCAGGCGTTCGAGGGGGGCCTTTCTCATGAAGGCTCGGAAGTCCCCCGGCTGTCTGAAACAATTTCTGGGCCTTCCCCGAAGGCACGGCACACTTCTCAAAGGGCGCGGGGGGGTTCTGAGGAGCCCCGCCGCCTTCTGAAAAGGCGTTTTTTTTCTCACTTCCCCCCCTCCCTCGCCGCTGTGAAGGGGGGCGCGCGTGTGCGGGGCCGACGCGGTCCTGGGCCCTGGTCTGCTGCGGACAAAGGTGGTGGCGCGCAACCTGAAGCGCGGAGGATCAGAACAAACACCCGCGGGGGCAAAGATCCGCTAAGGGAAACAAGCGAACCAGCGGTCGATCCCACCGAAGGAAGAGGGGGACGACGAGTTTCTAACATTCACCTTCACTAGCAAGCCGCCCCCGCCACGCCATCGCAAACAACTGACCCAACGCAATGTGTCACCTCGACCACGCGGGCGCGCCCGCCCGCGCACCCAAAAAAACAGAACCCTAGGCCACAGCGAGAAGCGGCGGCAAGCGGGTGCTGCCATATGGGCCATCGGTGGAGTTTTCTATAGAGCCTTCGGTGTGGTTCCCTCTGTCCGTGATCTGTTTGATGGGGAGTAACAAAACTAGAGCGTCCAAAATTGTCCGTCTCTTCTTTTTCTCCCACTGTGCCCGCGCACTCCAAAGCCGAAGGCTGCGGGCGCAGCGAAACGCGGAGTCCCCGCGACGCGCGCTGGCCCCGAAGGGGTCCCAGCGACGCGCGCGGGTCGCCTTTTGCGCGGAACAAAGAGAGCTAGCTAGCTGGCCGATTGCGGGCAAGGCTCTGGTTGCTGGGCAGAACGACGACAGGCGAGCGAGGCGCTGGGCGGAGCGCAACATGGAGTTCCTGCGACGCGCGCTGGTCGCTGCGAGAGGGTCCCGAAGCCGCGCGGGTCATCCGCGGCGCGGGGCCAAACTGTCAGACCGTCGAAGGAAGGCGAGGCTCTGGCGGGCAGCCTCCTTGTAGGGCGATGGGGCACCGAAGCGTGTGAAAAATGTTTTCCTTATGGGGCCACGAAGCGCTGAGCTGGGCGCAGGAGCCGCATGCGAATTCCTCCAGTGGGACCTTCGGTGGAAATCCGTATGCGGCCACGAAACACCGCACTAGGCGCACGCGAGTTCCGCCACTGGCACCTTCGGTGGAGCTCCATATGGGGCCACGAAACGCCGCACTGGGCGCAGGAACCGCATGCGAATTCCGCCACTGGGGCCTTCAGTGGCTCCCTATGCGGCCACGAAGCACCGCACTGGACGCAAGAACCGCATGCGAGTTCCGCCACTGGCACCTTCGGTGGAGCTCCCTATGGGGCCACGAAACGCTGCACTGGGCGCGGGAACCGCATGCGAATTCCGCCACTGGCACCTTCGGTGGAGCTCCCTATGCGGCCACGGAACGCTGCACTCGGGGCGGGAAACTGCATTCGAGTTCCGCGACTGGCACCTCCGGTGGAGTTCCCTATGGGGCCACGAAGTGATGCACTGGGCGCGGACCGCGTTCGCGCTCCGCCACTGGGACCTCCGGTGAGCTCCTCATGCGGCCACGAAACGCTGCAGGGAGGAGGGAGGAGGAGGAGGAGGAGGAGGAGGAGGAGGAGGAAGAGGAGGAGGAGGAGGAGGAGGAGGAAGGAGAACGCGGGGCACCGTCTCACTGAAACGAGGACCCAACACCATGGCAATGTGGGGGGAAAGATGAAATAACAAACTGCCGCTCGTGAAACTCAGTTCTCGCACATTTCCGAGGCGTGCCACACGCAGGAACCGAAGGAGAAGAAGCTACACGCCGCTAAACCATTTCCCGAACCGCGCCCGCGGGCCGTGCCCGCTCAAATAACGACACGCCCTCTGGGTCGTACCGCCCCAGGCCACCCGAGGGACACCACTCCCCTGGGCGACCGCACACCCCCACGCACGCCAGGGCGGGGCACCCTGGCTATGGGAAGGATGGGTGTGGTTCCCCCAATAAGTGGCCACCCGCAAGGGACCAGCCCGAGCCCAGGTGGGGTACCTGGCGGGGCACTGCAAGGGGTGGGAGAACGTGGCGACGAGGGCAATGTTCTTTGACCCTGGCCCCTACGGGCAAGCAGGAGCCACGATCGGGCAACAACCCGCCTGTTGTTTTGTTTTCCTGGGTAAGGCACCCAGTGGCACAGGTGCCAGGAGAAGGACGGGGGGGAGGAGGAGGAGGAGGAGGAGGAGGAGGAGGAGGAGGAGGAGGAGGAGGAGGAGGAGGAGGAGGAGGAGGAGGAGGGGGAGGAGGAGGAGGAGGAGGAGGAGGAGGAGGAGGAGGAGAGAGGAGGAGTAGGAGGAGGAGGAGGAGAAGGAGGAGGAGGAGGAGGAGGGAGGAGGAAGAGGAGGAGGTAACATGTGTGAATCTCAATCGGAAAAACTGGCAACGGTTTCACAGATGAAGGCGGGTCCCTTCCAAAATGCGGCTCTCGCCTTAGCGCCGCGCATAGTCGTTTTAACATGTGCAAGGGCGCCATGTATTCCAGGCGGTTCGTTTTCAAGATGTGGTTCTCGCCTTAGCGTCGCGCACATTCCTTATAATGCATTGCGAAAGCTTCACATATTGAGGGCGATTCGTTTTCAAACTGCTGGTCTCGCCTTAGCGCCGCGCGCATTCGTTTTCAAACAGGTGCAACAGATTCACAGCATGAAGGTGGCTCGCATTCAAAACGTGGCTGTCGCCTTAGCGCCGCGGCGCAAATTCGTGATACACGTTGCAAGGGCTTCCTGGATTGAGGGCGGTCCGTTTTCAAAATATGGTTCTCGCCCTAACGCCGCGCACACTCGCTTTAAACATTGCGCGGGTTTCACGGACTGATGGCACTTCCTTTTCAAACTGCGGTTCTTCCCTAAGCGCCGCGCGCACTCGTTCTAAAAATGTGCAAGAGTTTCACGGAGTGAGGGCGGTTCCTCTCAGCATCGCACAAAGTCGTATTAAAACTTCTCCAGGGCGTCGCTGACTCTCATGGTTAACGTACCAGAAATAATGGTTTGGGACGGTTCAGGATCGTTATGGCTCAGCACGTGCTTTCATTCGCTGTGTTGACGTCTCAAGAAAGATGTTCTGGTACGGCTCAGGACCGTCAAGTTGCAACAGGCAGGTTGACTCGTGGTGTTGAAGTCCTGAACACGGTGTTTGGGCACGCTTCAGGCTTCAAACACGGTTGTCCGCCAACGGGGCACGTTCCTCTGTGGAAATGAGCCTTTTGTATGGGGCCTCAGAAGAGGGAGCTTAGAGGGAGGGTATATTCTAACATCGCTGATGAGTCTTGGGTCTTGAGCCTACACTGGTCCTCCTCCTCCTCCCCATCATCATAATCATTCCTCATCCTCGACCTCCAACCCATGGCTCTCACACATCTCCGATATTGCGTACATACTGCGCAGGGCTAGCCAGCACCAGGGTGCTTCAGGACAGGAGGGGGCAAAAAGGATAATGAGGGGGACGAGGGCAGAGAGGAGCGAGGGAGATGGGAAAGGGGACGAAGGCGAGCACGCGGGCGCGGAGGAGACGTGAAGGACGAGAAGAGAAGGGCGCGAGGAGGACGAGGCAGGGGAGGACAGGGGGGAAACGGAGTACAAGGTTGAGGACGGGAAGGGCGACAATGAGGAGCATGCGTGGAGAACGACGGCGACGAGTACGACCCCTTCCTCATCCTCCTCCACCTCCTCCCCCTCCCCCTCCACCTCATCCTCTGACTCCCACCTTCCTCGACGACGACAACGACGTCGACGACGACGCCAACGACAACAACAACAACAACAACTATAACAACAACAACGACGACGACAACAACACCACCACTAACAACACCAACACCAACAACAACGACGACGACGACAACGACAACAACAACAACAACAACAACAACAACAACAGCAACAACAACAACAACCACGACCACGACGACGACGACGACGACGACGACGACGACGACGACGACGACGACAACAACAACAACAACAACAACAATCACGACGACGACGACGACGACGACAACAACAACAGCAACAACAACAACAACAACGACGACGACGACGACGACAACAACCACGACGACGACGACGACGACGACGACGACGGCGACGACGACAACAACAATAACAGCCACGACGAAGACGACGACGACGACGACGACAACAACAACAACAACAACAACAACAACAACAACAACAACAACGACAACAACAACGACGACGACGACGACAACAACAACGACGACGACGATGACGACGACGACGACCACAACAACAACAACAACAACAACGACGACGACGACGACGACGACCACAACAACATCAACAACAACATCAACAACAACAACAACCACGACGACGACGACGACGACAACAACAGCAACAACGACGATGACGACGACGACGACGACAACGACAACAACGACGACGACGACGACGACGACGACAACAACAACAACAACAACAACAAACGACGACGACGACGACGACGACGACGAC